GCCGAAGAATTGCGACTGTGCGGATCACACGGAGATCACGGACCCCCGCCTCCCGAACCACCTTCTCCGCTGCGGCACAAGCAAGCATCGCATCAACACCCACAACGAGCTGCGCGATGCCTGCATCAGCATGGCCCAGGACGCGGGTTTCATCGTTCACAGCGAGTCCTCAGCGCACTGCCCCGTTGAGGAACAGACGGCCGACTTTACAATGACAGACAGGAGCAGTGGGGCCATCTATGGATGTGACGTCACCATCACCGACCCCATTAGCACAAGGGATCCGGAGGCACAGAAGGGCAGGGGCTGGGCGGCCCGAGAGCAAGCGGACAAGAAAATCCATGGCCATGCGCCTCCCTACCAGAGACGGTGACCTTCTTCCCCCTGGCTGTGGACACCTATGGCTGCCCGTGTGCGGAGGTACCAGCCTTTTTGAAGCTCTTAGCGGACACTGCAGCTCGGCGGCACTTCAACGCCGACTCTAAATCGTTCTATGCTGCAAAGTTCCTGCACCAGTTCAAGCAACGCTGGTCTGTGGCCCTGCAAAGGGCCCAATCTGTAGGCCTCCTACTCAAGCTTGGGGAGGCGGCGGCGGTTGAGAACCCGCCGGTGGGAGGAATTGGGGATGAGTTGCATCTAGGGGACTGCTTTGCAGTGATTGAGCCCCTCGTAGAGTTGTAGATCGGCGATGTTTGCAACCAGCATGCTTGTTACCTAGGCCACTATAACTTGCCTGCCTGTACTTGACTGCTATATCAATAAAAAGGACCATTAGAGAGAGAGAGAGAGAGAGAGAGAGAGAGAGAGAGAGAGAGAGAGAGAGAGAGAGAGAGAGAGAGAGAGAGAGAGAGAGAGAGTGGGAGAGAGAGAGAGAGAGAAAGAGAAAGAGAGAACAAGAGAGAATAAGAGAAACACAATGGACAAGTGTGTCCATGGCCATAGGCATCATCTCCCATGCACTAAGGGCAGGCACAACCACATCCTACCGAGTGCACGCTGGGCCGAAAAAAAAAAAAAAAAAAAAAAAAAAAAAAAAAAAAAAAGGAGGAAACGAGGAGAAGAAGAAGCGCCATTTCGCGCCCGACACATTCGTTGACATTTCCGTCGGTTGTTATTTTCTTCACACATTTGATCAATGGTTGCCCATACATGTACATGCACACACATGCTTTAACATGGAATACTCAACCCGTATACCACTTGGCCTCCCATGCACAGGAGCACGACGGTGCGAGGCGGCATGCTACGATGACCCGTACGAATTTGCCGTTACAGACAGAACTATTACACAGATGCGCGGTCGTCTTCGCGCGACCTTTGCGTGGTGGAGCTCATGGTGCCCCAGCAGCCTCGTTCTCTCCGTCATCGCCAAGGGTTACTGGTTGCCATGGAGCCACGGCCCACCACAACCTTTCCACGATCGCAATCATGTCGGGGCAAACACGCATGCTACGTTCACACGTACCGCCATCCAAGAACTCATAGAGACGGGAGCGGCAGTTCCGATGGCCGCAACGGAGCTCAAGTGCGTAAGTCCACTTAACGTGGTCGAGCAAAAAGACAAATGCAGGCTCATTCTTGATCTGAGAAAGGTCAACGCTAACTTGATTGTCCCCAAGTTCAAGTACGAGGGGCTCAGCCGTGTCGCCGACCTGGCGCGCGTTGGGGACTGGATGTTCTCCATTGACCTCAAATCCGGTTACCATCACATCGACATCCACCCATCGTGCTGGAAGTTCCTTGGCTTCGAATTCGATAGGCGCACATACGCATTTCGTTCACTACCATTCGGCCTCGCGACGGCTCCATTCGTCTTTACACAGCTCATCAAGCAACTAGCTCGGCGTTGGCGAGAACAAGGCATCTGAGTCGTACCTTACGTGGATGACATCTTATTCCTCTGCCAGTCGAAAGCCGATGCGCAAGCAATCTGCCAGCAGGTGATATTGGACCTCAAAGAGGCAGGCCTTGTGATAAACGCGAAGAAATCACAACTGTCACCATCGCAACATCTCCGATTCCTGGGCGTAGAACAGGAGACCGGCACCGGCCAATTCTCCATCGGTCCCGACCGACGAGCCTCACTACATGCAACCATCCGGAACCTCCTGAGCGCAAGCAGGGCATGCCGACCAGTCCCGGTCCCCCACGTGGCCAGAATCATTGGCATGCTTGCATCGATGGGTTTCGCACTTGGCGCGACTGCTCGCGCATTCAGCCACGCTATGTTACAAGTGATCAACGAAGCACCGTCATGGAAAAGCAGCGTGGTTATCCCCCCATCTGCAGCAGAGGAGCTCCAATTTTGGCTCGAGGAATTTGACCGTTTCAACGGCGCACCTTTTCACGTCAGGAATAGCTACGACGCAATAATCCATGTGGATGCCAGCTCTCATGGTTGGGGCGCCACTCTGACCACATTTCCGGGCGGCCTCGAAGAAGCTAGCGCAACCATGTCAGAGCCGCTACAAGGAACGTCCAGCACGCGACGGGAGATCGAAGGCGTCCTTTGGGCGCTCCAAATATACGCGACCAAGATCAAGCAAAAACACGTTCTCGTGCGGGTGGACAACCAGGGCGTGTTCTTCATCCTTCGAAAAGGCGGCTCTCACAGCCCCGACCTCGCAACGGCATGCAAGAGCATCATCCGAACATGCATGGAGCTTGGCACTCGTTGATCATCGAATGGATTCCGCGCGAGCTCAATACACACGCCGACGAACTTTCAAAAATGGTCGACCACGACGATTACGCGCTGAAAACGCCGTGGTTCCGCATCTTGGAACGTCGTTGGGGGCCCCACTCCATCGACCTCTTCGCAAACTCCCGCAACACCCAACTGCCGCGCTTCTGCACAAAGATTCCCCACCCAGAAGCTATCGCAGTTGATGCGTTCTCGATCGCGTGGACACCCGAAAACAACTTCGCCTTCCCCCCGCCCCAACTGGTCCCAGCCGTCCTCCATCACGCACAACGCACCCATGCATCACTCACACTGATAGTTCCACACTGGCCAGGCGCAAGCTGGTGGCAACTTTTGCAACCCTCCCCATGCACTTGGGCTCCACACATCCACGCGCACATCCCTCTGACACACGGAAGCCAATGCCTAGACGCAGGGTCCCATTCCAATGCTTTTTCAGGCATGGGACTACCGCACAGCCCAATTATTGCACTGAGAATGGCATTTGACTAATTCAAAACATCAACGCCCTGTGTTCAGATTTGCTCCCAAAGTTACACGACCAAATGATCAACATGCTCGCGCAATCTCGCGCCGATTCTACGATCCGGACATACGAACCATACTGGGCCAAGTTTCGAGCCTTCTGCACAAAAGTGAACCTCCCATTTCTTCCGGCATCCGACATGACCCTCGCGCTCTACCTGGTACACGCAATCCGACGCAAAGCCACCCTGTCCGTAGTGCAGCTGACGTGCTCGGCGGTCAGCTTCGCTCATCGCATGACTGGGAGCAAATGCCCGACAACCGGACCGTTCACCACCCAAGTCCGTGACTGTGCAAAACGACACTGCCCTCGCCCTACTCGTATGAAGGAACCCGTATCGATCCAACAAGTCCGGGACATGGCCGCGAGTTACTTGCAGTCCGACGATACCGCGACGTTTCAGAAAGGGTTGATCCCCATCCTCATGTACTCAGGATTCCTGCGATATTCGGACCTGGCAGCCATAAAATGGCAAGACATCCAATTCGACGACGAGGTCATGTGGATTCTCATACCACACTCCAAGACCGATCAGGCTGGTCATGGCACTTGGATTCCCATTGCAGCAACGACAGACCCTTGTTGCCCAGTGCGCTGCACCCGACGCTTCATCCAACTGGCCGGCTATGGCCCACAATCAGAGGGACCATTGATTCGGGTCTTCGGCCACGCTTCAACCAGCGAGGGCCAAGCAAGGCCACCCTCATACACCACGATCCGGAACTGGTGCAAGGAAGCCTACGCAAAAGTGGGCCTTGGAGACCTGCAGCTCGGCACACATTCTTTCCGAAAAGGTGCAGCCACAGTAGCAGCCAACACGGGCGTGCCAGACAGGGTCTTCAAACGGCTGGGCAGATGGCGAAGCGACTCAGCAAAGGAAATGTATGTTACACCATACGTCGAGCCTCTTATCGAAGCCTCCCGTAACCTACAAGACCTGACGCATGCAGCGTCATCGGCACAACACTCAGAGGCACTCGTACGCAACCGGAGGCCCCCGCTGCCCATGTCTCAGAGACCCCATTTGTAATGAGAACGATGCCAATTGATAAGAATAAGAAAGCAAGCTTTCTCAATATTATAATTTTTAAACACACATTGTGTTTTTTAAAATTGTGTATTGTGAAAGCGAAGCTGCTTGTACTGCACAATTGGCATCGTCGAAGCGCGCTAAACGCCCTTCTCCAACTACAAAAACCGTGGGTTGGAGTTCATTTCCCTCCACCCACGTTTCTCGATTTTCAAACGGCTCACTCAACACTCCCACCACCCACCCCAGAGTAAACCGCCTTGCTAATGCCACTTGGATAGGGTACATCTTAGCTAGTGTTATTCGACTGCACCAGCTTGTGTTCAACGTTGATGCAAATGTTGTAATAAGCCATTTGTAATGAGAACGATGCCAATTGATAAGAATAAGAAAGCAAGCTTTCTCAATTACGCATTTAAGAAATGTCATTATATTAGCGTCAGCGATTATAAAAATCCTCGATTATAAGCCCACCTTCTAAAAGAAACGTGTTTTTTTTATAACCCCAGGGGCGCGCTAATCCGGGGGCTGACGGTATCTGCAAGCAGTTTGGTTTCGGGTGCGCTTGTAAGGGTGAGGTTCTGAGTTTTAACCCCGGTTCAACACACAATTCCATAATCTGCAAAACCCTGTCGAATCAGAGTAACGCTTCCAAGAAACCCTGAGTTTCAGAGATCTTTTTCCCAACAGCCCTGATAAACAGTGCTGCGAGAAATATAAAATAAGCGATGCTTTCATGTTCACGGGCCCCTAGTGGGGTCCCAGCCTGTAACGTAGTCCTCATTGAGTGAGTCGAGCTTCGCCATGTCAATGTCAGAAATGTTGAAGTCGTACACCTGCACATGGCATGTGGTACATGGCATGTGGTACATGGCATGTGGTACATGGCATGTGGTACGTGGCACAGGCAGATGGCACATGGTACATAGCACATGACACATGACAGATGGCACATGGCACATGGTACATAGCACATGGCACGTGACAGATGGCACATGGCACATGGTGAATAGCACATGGCACATGACAGATGGCACATGGCACATGGTACATAGCACATGGCACATGACAGATGGCACATGGCACATGGTACATAGCACATGGCACGTGACAGATGGCACATGGCACATGGTACATAGCAGATGGCACATGACAGATGGCACACGGCACATGTTACATAGCACATGGCACGTGACAGATGGCACATGGCACATGGTACATAGCACATGGCACATAACAGATGGCACATCGCACATGGTACATGTCACACAAAATGTGGTACGTCACACAAACCATGGTACATTGCACATGGCATATGGCACGTGGTTTGCAAATGGTACACGGAAATTGGCACACGGCGCATGGTACATGACATATGGCACATTGCACATGGAATAGCAACACAGCAGACAACGGAATGAGCATAAGAATAATCACAGCAGGAAACAACTCTGATTGGAAGGCACAGATGACACAAAGCGGGTGCAATACAATATGATGTGTGCAATACAATATGATGTGTGCAATACAATATGATGTGTGCAATAGCAGCAGACGGGCACATGTGTGCAGCAGGGCAATAGCAGCAGACAGGAACGTGTGTGCAGCAGGGCACAAGGAGGATAATGAATGCGATACAGCACAGCTGCTATACAAGAGCGCCTGGGTGTTGGCAGCACCTGGGAGTTGGCGGCACCTGGGTGTTGGCAGCACCTGGGAGTTGGCAGCACCTGGGTGTTGGCAGCACCTGGGTGTTGGAGGCACCTGGGTGTTGGCAGCACCTGGGATTTGGCGACACCTGGGTGTTGGCAGCACCTGGGTGTTGGCGGCACCTGGGTGTTGGCGGCGATGTGGGCGGGGTTGACGGAGCGGGGCAGCACGGTGAAGCCCTTCTGCAGGCACCAGCGCACCATGAGCTGCGCCGTGCTCTTCTGATACCGCGCTGCCATCTGCCCTCCCATGCCACACGTGGGGTGGACACACCAAGGGAGCAGCATGATGGCACCATCGGCTGCGCCGTGCTCTTCACGTACCGCACATGCAGTGGGCGTGAGGTGCACAAGCAGTGGGGGTGAGGTGCACATGCAGTGGGGGTAAGTTGGAAGCAGCAAGCACGCAGTAGAAAGTGCCATCATGTGCGATGTGCGGTGCCATCATGTGCGATGTGCGGTGCCATCATGTGCGGTGCCATCATGTGCGGTGCCATCATGTGCGGTGCCATCATGTGCATTGCCATCATGTGCGTTGCCATCATGTGCGTTGCCATCATGTGCGTTGCCATCATGTGCGTTGCCATCATGTGCATTGCCATCATGTGCGTTGCCATCATGTGCGTTGCCATCATGTGCATTGCCATCATGTGCATTGCCATCATGTGCGGTGCCATCATGTGCGTTGCCATATACACCTGCACCTCCTCGCCTTGCCTTCCCTTCCACTCCATGTGCCCAACATACATCTGCCCAACCCCGGTTGCTATAATGTTTGGAACACCCGCATCTTCCAAGCGCCCCCACTTCTCTGTTCGCCCACTTCTCTTTCGCTCATTTCTCTGTTCCCCCAATTCAGAGAATTGGAGGCACTTTGTGTTTCCCTGGCCTCCCACCATCAAATCCCAACAGAAAAGCGAAGTGCGCGCCTTGCCAAGGGCACACCTGCCTGAAGCTCAACTCATGCACCACACCCACAGCGCACCTCGACGAGCGTGGGGTCGCGCAGGCGAGTGCCCTTGGTGAGGGGCGAGTAGGCCTGCAGCGCCATGCCGTGCTGCACGCAGAAGTCCACGAGGGCGCGCCGCGTGCCGAAGGGGTGCAGCTCGAGCTGGTTGACGGCGGGGCGCACGGTGCAGTGCTCGAACAGCTCCTCCAGCTGGTGCTGCCCGAAGTTGCTCACCCCGATGGCCCTCACTCGCCCCCCCCTCAGCAGGTCCTCCATGGCGCGCCACGAGTCCAGCCGCGCGTCCACGCGCATGGGCGAGTGCAGCACGTACAGGTCCACTGGGGGGGGAGGAGGGGGGTGGGAGGGGGACAGCACGGCGTGCGGTGAAGGGCGAGAGGAAGGCAGAAGGCGAGTGCAGCAGGTACAGGTGGCAACATGACAACATGGCGTGCGTGGTGGGCAATGAGAGCAGAGTGGAAGGCACAGCCATGGAAGGAGCAGCCATGGGAAGGGAGGCTTGAAACATGCGAATCCGTCCCACCCATCATAGTCCTCCCAACCACCATGGTTCTCCCACCCACCCAACATAGTCCCACCCACCATAATCCCACCCACCATAGTCCCACCCACCATAATCCCACCCACCATAGTCCCACCCACCATAGTCCCTCCCACCATAGTCCCACTCACCATAGTCCCACCCACCATAGTCCCTCCCATCCACCATAGTCCCTCCCACCCACCATAGTCCCACCCACCATAGTCTCACCCACCATAATCCCACCCACCATAGTCCCACCCACCATAGTCTCACCCACCATAATCCCACCCACCATAGTCCCACCCACCATAGTCCCTCCCACCCACCATAGTCCCTCCCATCCACCATAGTCCCACCCACCATAGTCCCACCCACCATGGTCCCGCCCACCATAATCCCACCCACCATAGTCCCTCCCACCCACCATAGTCCCTCCCATCCACCATAGTCCCTCCCATCCACCATAGCCCATATTCAAGCCCACCGTAGTCAAGCCCCAGCTCGCTGAGCGAGCGGTGGAAGGCCTGCAGCGTGGCGTCGTAGCCGTTGTCGGCATTCCACAGCTTGGTCGTCACAAACACACTCTCCCTCGCCAGCCCACTCGCCCTCACCGCCCTGCCTGGTGGGGCGCGCGTCAATATGGGATGGGATGGCACGCGATGGGATGGCACGCGGTGGGATGGGATGGGATGGGATGGGATGGGATGGGATGGGATGGGATGGGATGGGATGGGATGGGATGGGATGGGATGGGATGGGATGGGATGGGGTGGGGTGGGATGGGACGATGACACGCTCACATGAATTGAGGAGGCAAATGAAATGCGTCCCATAGACTGCACATGGTGAAGCACAGCATGTCCCCCGCCAGAGACAGATGACGATAGGCACGACTGCCCGCATGTGAGATGGCAGCACACGGTGAGGGCGGGCAGGGGAGCGGGGAAAGGGCGGAGGGGGAAGGGACACAGGGGAAAGGGGGGAGTGGGCGGTGCGAGTCTCACCAACAGCGGCTTCATTGCGGTGCAGCTGAGCGGTGTCGATGTGGCGATACCCCTCCCTCAGCGCCGTCAGCACCGCCGCCTCCGCATCGCGCGCTGAGATCTGACGGGGGCCAGTGTGGTACGCACGAGGTGGGGGTGGGACACACGGCCGCGCTAAGTGGCTTCACATGACACATGAGTCGCACACACGCCCCATGAGTCGCACACACGCCCCATGAGTCGCACACACGCCCCATGAGTCGCGCACATCCCTCACCATGCACGCGCCTCACCATGCGCGTGGCTCACCATGTAGGTACCGAAGCCGAGGCGCGGCATCTTGACATGGCCGTCGAGGGGCGCGTTGCAGATGTCAACGCAGTCCGTCGCGGGGCACAGCACGCGCTGCCCCACCGCCGCGCGCAGGTTCGTCATCCGCCCGCCCGCACCGCCGTGCCCCGCCCCGCGCTGCACTAATGGGCTACTCCTCCCACAACCCGCGCTGCACTGAATGGGCTACTCCTCCCACAACCCGCGCTGCACTGATGGGCTACTCCTCCCACAACCCGCGCTGCACTGAATGGGCTACTCCTCCCACAACCCGCGCTGCACTGATGGGCTACTCCTCCCACAACCTGCGGGAAACGTACGCGAGCGGGAGCAGGGGAGCAGGAAGGGCAGTGTGAGTCTGGGCTGGGTGGCGGCGGTAAGCCTTAAGCAGCGCGGCGCGAGGGGTGTGGGGGGATACGCAGGCCAGAGATCACAGCGGGGACACGCGCGGCGGGATGGCTCTACCCATCCCCGATTAATCCTCGCGTGCGCTACAGGGCAGCGAGGCGGAGAGGCGGGGCGGAGAGGCGGGGGGGAGAGGCGGGGCGGAGAGGCGGGGCGGGCACGCGAGAGGCACGTCTACGAGGTGAGACAATCGCGGCGGGGCAGGCGCGTGGCGTCGCGACACCCGCACGAGCAGCGCTGGCAGTCGCCGGCGCTCCTTGGGTGCTCGCGAGGCGTATTAGGGCGTATCCCTGGCTGGTGGCAGGGCCACTGTAGCTGGCAAGGTTGGTGGCAACTTTCCCAAAAACACAGGGGCCCGGAAAATGCGCATGCCACCAACAGTGCCAGCTACAGTTGCCCTGCCACCACCCAGGGATACGCCCTTAGCGCAGTCGGGATGGTGGGCGTGCGTCGCTTACCAATGCTGCCTGATTGCTTAACTCCTCGCTCCTAATCACGTTGCCACTTTCTTTCCCGTTGCGACTAGACCTTTGCGATTAGCGCGTTGCGACTAGACCGTTGCGTTTAGAGACTAGAAACGAGGGAATGGCACCGCGCGCCTCGGCGTGGATGGGTGCATTTGGAGCGGATGCTTCTTGGGAGGGCTGGTCTCCACCTCAAAGCCCAAGGTTGATGTTCTCGAAACAACCCCCTTTGTGGTAACACAGCTGGAAATTACCGCTGGTTCGCCTATTGTGCTGCTGTTTTAGTACTGTATGGTAGCACGTTCGGTTTGGGTGGCGAGGTTGACGAATAATGTTGTGCGAAATCGGAATACCCCCGTTTCGTTGGGGAAGTGAGAAGGTCTACTCGTTTCGTTTTCCATTGACTTCGAAAGGTTCATTATGCTGCGCAATGGTCTAACGCGGTGAAATTAGAAACTGGTCTTCAAAGTGGTGAACATTACAAAACACCATCACTTGAATGCCCACCCTCGCGTCCGAACCCGACTGAGGGTGGAGCACTGGATGCCCATTTGCACTCAGGTTTAGAACTTTCCAAACCGCAACCTAGGTAGCGTATTCTTGGGATGCACGTGATGACTCCCACGCATTGCGCCAGGTAGTCCGCGCTCCGCGCGCCTCCACAAGGGCTCAAGCGTCACGCCACCTCACCTCGAACCCATGTTCTTCCGCCTCTCCACGTCCCTCCGCCTATCCGCGCCCTTCCGCTTCGCCGCGCCGGTCGCCCACATGCTTCTCCGCGCGCCCCTCCATCGCTCCCCAGGCGCTCTCCTTCCACCTCGCTCCCCCTCGTCGCACGCCGCATCGCACGGCCCCGTCGCTCGCTCTTCGCAGCGGAGCCTCGCGACCACGGCGACAGGCCACTCCGCTGCGGCGAGTAGCAGACGTCGCACGGCCGCGTGCGCCTTGCTGTCTGCGCGTGCCCCCGCCGCCCCCTGTCCCCTCTACTACTGCAGCCTTGTGCCGCTCCCTGCCCCCGACGCGGCCCCGTCCCTTGCGCTTCTTGCGCTCTCTCCCCGCCGCGTCGCACGGACGCTCTCAGTGGCGGGGACAGGCGGCGAGGGGGTCGTGAGGGGAAATGGCGGGGCGCGGGGAGGCAGTGCGGCGATGCTCGCTTCGGGAGCATGGGGGGAATCGCACAAGGGGCAACGGGGTTTCGGCGGAGGACTCCCGCGCGCGACCACGGCGGAGGGCGCCGTGCTGCGCGGGGGGGAGGCGGGCGGGACCAGCGGGATGGGGGCCGTGAGGTGCACGGGCGCGCCTGGCGCAACGGGGGCCTCGGGACGGGCGGATGGACCAGCGAGGCAGGGGGTCGTGGCGCAGGCGAGATGGGGCGGCGTGGAGGGGGCGGCGGCGGGGGGCCGTGCGGTGGTGCTGTGGGATCTGGACAACGTGCAGCCGGAGCGCATGGAGCCGTTCGACGCCGCCACGCGCCTCACGGACCTGGCCGCCAGCTTCGGGTCGCCCGTGGACGTGCTGGCCTATGCCAACCGCCACGCCTTTGAGCACGTCCCCGCCTGGGTGCGCGAGCAGCGGAGAGAGCGCCGCGATGCGGAGCGCATGGCGGCGCGCGGGGAGGCGGAGGAGCGGGAGGTGCGGTGTGAGCTGTGCGGGCGGCGGTGCAGCGGGGCGGTGGCACTGAGGAAGCACTTTGTGTCGCTGCACCAGAGGGAGCATGAGAAGCGCATGCAACACCTCAACCACGCCTCCCCCAAGTGCGCGCTCGCCCACACCCCTCTTGTGCCCTTTTCCCCTGGCCCCATCACACCCCTGCCATTACCTCATTTCTGTGCTGCTGCCCGCCCCCCTCGGTGCGTGCGAGCAGGCGGAAGCGGCGGCTGAGGGAGGAGTATCGGGGCAAGCAGCAGCGCTACCAGCAGGCCGTGCGCGGCGTGCTGCTGCCCCGCCACGGCTACGGGCTCATGCCCGAGCTGCGCCGCGCTGGGGTGGTCGTGCGCCTCGTCAGCCAGCAGTCGCAGGTGGGCGGTGAGGGAGGGGGGGAGGTGAGAGGTGAAAGGAGAGTGTGGCCGCCGCCGCCCTCTCACTCTGCTACTCACTTGCGCTCCCACCCCACCCCTACCCCCCCTTCTTCCCCGGGCCCCACCCCGCACGGCTCCTTCCCCCCCAGGCGGCGGACGAGGCGTTGAAGCGGGACTTGGCGGCGGCGGTGCGCAGCGGGCAGGTGGGCGCCGTGCTGCTCGTGTCGGACGACCGCGGCTACTCGCGCGCCCTCGGCGCCGCCGCTGCTGCCGGCCTCACCACCGTCGCTGTCGGCATCAACGGGTCGCTGCAGGTGGGCGTGGGGGAGGGGGTGGGGGTGGGGGTACGGGAGGCTGTAATGCACGGCACAGCAGGCATGCACTCACTAGAAACAGTTGTGTGTGCACTAACTCCACTGCTCACCTCCCCAAATGGCTCGTGGCCTGCACACCCACATGGCTCGTGGCCTGCACACCCACATGCCTCGTGGCCTGCACACCCACTGCCTCCATCCCTGGACCCGCTGTTGCCTGCTGCACCACCCCACACCACTGCTCACTCTGCCTGCTTCCCTGCAACTTCCACCTAAAACCTAAACCCTGTGGCATCACCTCTCCGTGCGCCCCCATCCGCTCCTCCAAAAAAACCCATGCGCCCATGCCCTCAGCCGGCGGTGCACCGGTGGTTCTGGTGGGGCGATGTGCTCTCGGGCCGCGCCGTGGCGCTCGCCCGGGGAGAGGCGGAGGGAATGGCGGGCTGGGGGGGAGGGGACGGGTGGCACGAGGAGGAGGGGGGGCGCAGGATGGAAGGGCATGCGTGGGGCGATGAGGGGGGGGGGGCGGTTGTAAGGGAGAGGGCGGAGCGAGGGAATGCGGTTGGCAGTGGGGCGAGGGGAGCGCTGCTTGGATTGGAGGATGTGGGGCGACGAGGGGTGGCGATGGAGGGGCAGGCGGACAGGTGGACGCATGGTGATGTGCATGGGGGGCAGGGCGAGGGGAGGTATGGGATGACAGGTGTGGGTGGTGGTGTGGAGGATGAGGGAGGGGAGTGGGACGATGGGGAGGAGTGGATGGAGGAGTGGGATGAGGATGTGTGGGAGAGCCAAGGGGAGGAGGAGGATGACAGAGATGATGGAGACAAGGTGAGGCGGTGTGAATTAGAAGAGGAATGTGTTTACAGTGGAGATTTCATCTCTATTCGTTGCGCACATTTGAGAGCTGCTGCTCTGTACTACGTGACACTTGCATTCACTCAGTGCCCACTGCTGCTCCCCACTTTCCACCTCTTGCACTGCACTGCCTCAAGCAGTGTGCACAGTGAGCATCCTCGTGTGCTGCGTGTGCTGCCTGGCTCGCAGGGCTTCTCTCATCAGGTGTTTGGAGGCGCTGGCGACGTGGCACGCCCACACGCGAACCCGTGACAGCAGCGCTAATCGACCTTTCCCTTTCTCTCTCCATCGCTCACTGCTGCTGTGCCACCGCAAGGCACTGCCAGGCGCTGGGAGGCGCTGGGAGGCCATTGGAGAAGGCGTGGATGCTGTGTAGAGGGATACCTTATGTGTGGCCTGTGTGCCGCCTAGTCTGTGCCGGCACCTACTGTATGTTGGCACTAGTTTGCTGTGAATGTGCCTCCTGTTAGGGTAGCTTGTGTTGTTGTGTGTCCCCTTGATACTGGTGGATATCACCATCCCTGCCAGTGCATTTCCCACTCTCAGCCATGCTCAAGAGTACCAGCCAGCGCATGCACGGGAAATACGGAAATAATCACTTTCGGTGGCCGCGCTACTAGTGGGCAGGGCTTACTTAATCAGAAATTTTTGGTCTGAATTTCTGGATTCTGAACACATTTTTACTGGTTCATCTGATGCTGTAGACATGCTGTTTAATTTCGTCCGAATTTTTTAGAGAAGCTTTTTCTATTCGTCTGATTTCTCAGACAGCCTTATACATTTCGTCTGAGACTGCAGATATCGAGTCCTTTTCGACTGAAGGCAAAACTCTCGAAAGAAGCAGGCGACAAGATTCGAAATGGAAACCTGTTACGAGTGCAATTGAGTGAACGAACGAGAATTGCACTATCGAAGCAAGAATACAAATGAGCGAAGGCATGAGCGAACATTATATAGCGAAACTACAGTGGTAACGGTAATGGTCGCGCGACGAGCCTGGGACTGAGGTTGGGAAAATGTCGAAGCGTAGGTCCGGAGCGCGGGTTACCAGCCGAGCCGTGAGGTCGGGATGCGATGTGCGAAAAGGGCGGGATGATGAATGATGCGATGGTCGCGAGTGGTAACGGTGCTGACTGAGGTGCTACAGTGATGTACGCGTTGAGCAGGGACGCTAAGTAAGGAAAAGGGAATTTCCTTACACTACCCCCCCTCCTAAGGAGGTCCTCCTTATGAAAGCGCGTGGATGTCTCGGAAATTGCGGCTACGCAGGTAGTCGGTGACGACGGGGTGATTTTCAACTTTCTCCAGGGGAACCCAATTGTCCTCGGTGGGGGTACGATCTTTCCAGCGGATCAGAAACTCCACTTTTCGGGCTCCTCGAGGGTCGCGAACTCTGTGGCTCAGGATCTTGTCGGGGGTGATGACTGGTTCGGTTGGTGGTCGTGTCATGCTGGTGGGTCGATGTCGTGGGAGTTGGCTGGTGGATGGCACGTAAGGGCGAAGTAAGCTGACGTGGAACGAGGGGCTGACGTACCAGTCAGCAGGGAGGAGGAGGTGCGCGGTGACTGGCGTGACCATGTGACTGATTCGAAATGGCCCACAGTATCGAGGGCGGAGTTTTGGAGTGATGGGCAGGCGGAGGTTCTGAGTGTCGAGTAAAACGAGGTCGTCGGGCTGATAAGTAACGGGTCTGCGATGGCGATCGGCGTTGCGTTTAGCGATGATGTTTGATTTTTTGATTGCTTCTGCTGCCCTGGTCCGTGCTGCTTGCAGAATCTCGACGAACTGTTGTGCTCGTGGGACGGGGTTGTCGGGATTCGGTGTCATGGGTACTGTTGGGTCCTGTCCGTAATTCAAGTAAAACGGCGACTGTTGCGTCGTGGCTGATGGTGCGTTATTGTATGCCAACTCGATGAGTGGCAGCTGCTGTTCCCACGTATTCGGATCGTCGCACGTGGCTCGAATCAGCTGCTCCATGGTCTGATTTGTCCGTTCCGTCTGTCCGTCGGTTTCGGGGTGATAGGATGAACTGAACTGTAAGCGCGTGCCGAACTGCTGCCACAGGTTCCGCCAGAAGTTGCTTGTAAATTTCGTGTCTCTGTCGCTGATGATCGATGCGGGTATCCCGTGCAGTCGAACGACGGTGGTGATGAAGAGTCGGGCGGTTTCCTCGGCTGTGATTGATTTCCTGCATGCTGCGAAATGAGCCATCTTCGTTAGTCGATCGACGACGACCAGGATCGCGTCATTCCCACTCGCCCCAGCTGGTAACCCCGTGACGAAATCCATCGTCACCTGCTGCCAAGCACGCTCTGGGGGCGGGATGGGTTGTAATTGTCCCGCCGGCCGCTTCCTGCTTGACTTCAAGAGCTGGCAAGTGGGGCACGATGCCACGTGTCGTTGCACATCGGTCAACATTTCTGGCCAGTAGTAGTACCGCTGCAGCTGCTGCCGTGTTTTTTCTACCCCGAAATGTCCCGAGGTAACTCCGTCGTGTGCTTCCTGTAACAGTAGTTCCCGTAGTAGCGTGTATCCTGGTACCCAGATGCGGTCGGTGTGAAAATGAGTAAGCAGGAATGAAATGACTAAGGAAAGATTGGGTACAAATACAACCCTAGAAACCCTGTACCCCATATGTGCTACCCCACTATAGCCTACAGCAACTATGTCATATAAATCTGACACACCCCCATAGGCAAAGTGGGGGAGAACAAGGGGTCACAAGACCAGTCAAGCAAAGCAAAGCAAGCTCAGGGTGGATCACAAAGTCACCACACAGTCCAAGCACAAGAGTAGGGCCAGAGGCCAGTTCACATGCAGGAGTACAGACATATATATAAAACTAGACAAACAAGAGCAGGCATATATATATGTCACAGTACAAGTGAAGTCAAGAGGAGAGCAAGTGAGGCAAGACAGGCACAAGACCCAGCTGGGTGCAAAAGCGCTGATGGTCACAAGGCGCGAGTGCCTTGGTGAACACATCAGCAGTGTTGGCCTCAGAGGCCACGTACGCAAGTCGCAACTGACCACGCTGCTGCAGCTCACGAGCAAGGAAGTAGCGGAGAGCAATGTGCTTCGTTCTGTGCTCCAAGCGCTGCTCTCGACACAAGGCCAGCATAGCCTTGTTGTCTACGTACAGCACTGGAGGAGAACGAGGCGGCTCTCCAAGGTCAGTCAGCAGGTAGGTGAGCCAGCGAAGCTCCTGTGCAGCCATGGCCCCGGCGTAGATCTCAGCCTCACAACTGGAGCCGAGAACCGAAGACGAGCGAGTAGACCGCCACGAGACAGAGCCGGAACCAAGGCTGAAGGTGTAACCCTGTGACGACCGCTGCGTAGCCTGGTCGTCAGCCCAAGAAGCGTCCGCGTGGCTGGTAAGGACCACTGGACTCCGCCCTCCAAGCACTAGCCCCATGCCCGACGTACTGCACAGGTAACGCAATACCCTCTTCGCTGCAGCCATGTGCTCCGGTCTGTGTCTCCCAGGAGCAACATAGCGTGCAAGAATGCTCAGAGGGTATGCAAGGTCAGGTCGTGTGCAGGTCATCAGGTACATGAGGCAGCCAACAAGCTCTATATACGGACCACTCGACTCTACGGACTCATCCGAAGGCAGAGCTGAGAGTGAGTGGCGAGTAGGCAGAGGAGTGGCCTGAGGCGAGGAGTACGTGAAGCCGAAGCGCTGAAGGACCTGCTGCACCATGTGTGACTGAGTCAAGGTAATGGTGCGGCGTGCTCTGTCCCGAGTGATCTGCAAGCCAAGGTAGCTGCGCAGTTCACCCAGGTCTGTGCACGTGTATCTCTTCAGCAGCTCGGACTTCACGTAGGCGAGTCCAGCAGTGTCTGCTGTGGCAAAGACCAAGTCGTCGACGTACACGAGGATGTAGAACGGCGGCAGGGAAGTGTCGGTGCGAAGAAACAGCGACGGGTCAGCAGTAGAAGGAGCAAACCCAAGAGCCGCAAGCGTAGTCCTCAGTGTGTCATGCCACTCACGCGGTGCCTGGCGGAGACCGTAGACTGGCCGTCGGAGGCTCCACTGGGTGCCAGGAGGGAAAGTCCCAGTGAAGCCAGGTGGACGGCGAAGCCAGATCTCCTCGTGCAGGCTACCCTGCAAGAACGCAGTGCTGAAGTCGAGAGAGTGAAGCTCGTAGTCGCGCTGAGCGGCTATGTGCAGCAGCACCCGAAGAGTAGTCATCTTCGGGGTGGGAGAGAAGGTCTGAAAGTAGTCAACTCCCTGCCGCTGACTGAAGCCACGAGCAACGTACCGTGCCTTGAAGACAGGTGGAGAGCCCGGCGGCCGCTTCACCCTGAAGATCCACATGCCACTGACGATGTTCGCCCCAGGAGGGGGAACCGCGTCAACGTAGGTGCCTGTGGACTTCCAGGAAGCCATCTCTGCATCCATAGCTGCCTGCCACTGAGAGGAGTAGGGACCCTCTACGGCCTCCGCGTAAGAACGCGGAGTCGGGATGTCTAGTGCATCCGGGTCTCCCTCAGGGGCAAGCAGTACAGACGCGAGATGAGGTGAAGCAGCCGCTAGACACTGTAACTCCTCCTGCCTGTCCTCTAGGACGTCCGTGCTAAGAGCACACTCACCCCCGACGGACGGAGGACAGACAGACGCAGACTCAGCAACAAGACTAGCAGCGTAGTCGAGACGACAGCGAGCAGCAAAGCTGACGAGCTCAGCGACTAGAGCAGACGCAGCAGTGGACTCAAAAGAGGGGTCAGTGACGACAGTAGCAAGCAGACGCGTGACAGTAGGACTGGCAGCACGAAGAGAGTCCGACTCAGGGTCGGCAAGCGCAGGAAGAGAGGACTCAGGAGGAGAAGGCAAAGGGGCACGCAGAGGAGCAGTGGACGGACGCAAAGACATCCGGTGCGTGCCAGGGACAGGAGGAGGACGCTGACGCGAACCGCGACCACTAGCGCGAGCAGCACGAACAGGCGACGCGGGACGAGACGCAGGCTCACGACGCTCAGCAAGACCTCCAGTAGGACCAGTGTAAGGAGAGGGAGCAGGCAGTGGAGAGGAAGGCTCCAGCAGGGACTGCGACTGGACAGGCGGTGGACCCTCTACCGGAGGAGAAAGACCAAGAACCTGCTGCAAGAGCGGAACGAAGTACGGCCGAGGCCGCGCGGCAGCTCCAGACGCAGCAGGGTCTGCACCAGCACCCTCAGCGACAGCACCAGCGCCACCCACACCTCCAGTGGCAGGACCAACAGCAGTAGGCTCAGCACCAGCGCCCTCA